TCCGCGAATACGACGCTCGTACGATGCGAGCCTGCTCCGTGGGAGATTCGTAGGAAGTCGAAGGACAGTGCCAGGACACGTTCCGCGCTGGTGAGGCGACGCGACACGAGACCGCCGCGGGTCTCGGGTGTTTCATCAACTTTTCCCTCCCTTACCCCGCCGGTAGTGTGGAATACGCGGACAGTGGGTGCTATTCCGTGCGACGATTCGACGAATCGACCGTGAATCCAAACCAGAGAAACTACGTACCTGATCAACGACATGCGACTATGAATCCCGGAGCGTGATGGACAAGCTCGCGTACGCAGCCAACAACTTCCAGCTACGCCTCGCCGGCATACTCATGGATATGTGGATATTCTTCCTGTTCGTTGCCATCGCCGGTAAGTTCAACTCTATAGTCTCCTCTTCTTTTATTCTCAACTTTTCGTCCTCTTCTTTACCTTCTTTCTTTTTAATCATCGTTGCACGTTCCATTCGATATCCGACTTTCTGCCGAATTCGAAGAGACGATCGGCCCCCTAACGCGTCCTCGGTGTATCGATTCGACGAGTGGCTCGCAGCGTGACTCGGTCCGCGTGCTGTCACTCGACGTGTCAATACGCATTACGTATGCACAACAGGCACGTGCGGCACGCTGAGTAAGTGCGTGGTATCTGTGCCATGGTTGAGTCTCGATTCATTCAAGAGATCGGGGAGAGGGAGAATCGATGCCACTTTCGTTCTTAACCGGTAAACGTCACGGATATTCCGTTTTTGGAGCGATTCAAGGCTGTGACGCGACCGAGTCGCAGGAATCGAGTCGGACATGTCGTAAGAAAATATCGTTAGAGAAACCGGTATATCTCGAAACGCGATTCCTCTTTTGTTAGCCTCGTTCTCTTTGCACCGATTACACAGCCAGAAGTTGTTTGTTTTCGCTACTGTCGGAGACCTCGTGGGGTAGGCGCCACCGAGTATTCCAGTCTGAACGACGACGATGTAACATCACCGTAGGGGAACCACGATACAACGCCAGATGGTTGAATTTCTCAACGACGAGAAAGAGGATCGGGAAACTCCTCTCTGTTCTTTCCTCTTTTATCTTTGTCTCTTTGTTTTCCTTTCCTGTTGCTCGCCGTCTCGCTTCCACTCGATCTATCGGTTCCTCTACCTTACGAACTACTGTGTTTTAACGTGTCCTCCGCGTCTTCTTCTTTCACGGCTCCTCGCCTTTCCTCTCTTTCTCTCGCAGCTTGGCCTTCTCGATCGTCGTCGAGTTTCTCTCGTCTACTTCTTCCTCGCAGCCGGTTTTACTCGTAATTCGCCGCCGTCGTCGTCGTCGTCCCCTTCCCTGCCCTTTCCAATCGTATCTCCGGTCCGTGCAGTCGGAATCACCCTGGCGTATACCCTCTTCCATTTCCTCGGCAGGGTTCGTCGGTGCATTCGTGCGTGAAGATCGACGGAAACGGGGGTAACTATCGGCGACTGTGCTCGTCGAATCTCATTTACGATCGTGACGGTTCGAGGAGAGCATCCCATAAAAGCGCTGCTCACGTACTCGATACCGATTTTACCTTCTAGCGTCGCGTCGCGCCGGCTC